TGTTGTGCATGGTGTCTTTTGCTCTACACCTAGAGCAGTGCTTGGAGTGCAATAAATATCTGTTGAATGAGCAGTGGGGAAGACCCCACTTGCTGCTGTGGAACTCATAGGAACCCATAGTGGTATAAACCCAGGTGAGAAGATACCTTTCACTATAACGTTTGGATCATGGGGCAGCTTTTGGAGGAAAGGAACTTGGATTTTGGAGGGGATGGCTGGAGTTGAATCCCAGCTTTTGCATTTACTAGCTGTATGAATCTTGCAGAAAATTCCTTAATCTTGTTTCCTCAGCTGTGAAGCAGAGTTAGTAAATTGTGGGGAGGCCAAATGAGCTAACGTGAATGGACCAAAAACAATGCCGGTGTTGACAGTTTTTCAGTAAATGTTAAGGACAAAAAATATGCAGGTAGAAGTGGTGAACGTGAGAAGGCTCCAACTGGTATATATAATCAGAAAAAGGCTAGAATTTAAACTGAAGAGGAGGGAGTAAAAGATATCATCTGAGAAGCAGCAACAAAACTGATGACAGGCTGGATGAGGGGAATGAAAAAGGGAAACTAGTGAAGAAAGCCAACTCTGCCATGAATTTCTTTCCAAACCTTTGGAAAGGGCTGTGTGCAGAGATCTGGCCTTTACCACCCCATCAATTTCTTAGGATCTAGAAGTAAGAAAAACAAATGTAGAAGCATCCCCGAGGGAGACCTGTGAAGCAATTTAGTTCAATGAGCCAATTTAGGTAAATTAGGACAAATCAACTGTGCTCTGATAAAATATTGCCTCTTGACGCAATGGAATTCTTTTTTTGTTTTTCAGTGCTTTAATTAATTTATTTTTTTGTTCAGCTACATTTGTCTCCACCTTCCCACCACCGCTTTCCCCTGCCCCCTCCCCAACCTCCCTCCCTCAGTCCTTCCCCACTTTGGCTTTGTCTATGAGTCCTTGATATTTGTTCCTTGACTTGACCCTTCCCTTTCCCCGCCCACCGCCCCCGCTTCCCTCTTGACTCTGTTGGTTTCTTTTTTCTTTCAATGTTGCTAGTCATATTTTCCTTGCTTATTTGTTTTGTTGGTTAGGTTCCACTTATAGGTGAGATCATGTGGTATTTGTCTTTCCCTACAACTTTAAGAACTGGAGAAACAACAAGTAAATCCCAGAGCAAGTAGAAGGAAAGAAATAATCAAGATCAGAGCAGAACTAAATGACATAGAGACAAAAAGAACAATTCAAAGGATCAGCCAATCCAGGAGCTGGTTCTTTGAAAAGATAAATAAAATCAACAAGCCTTTAAGCCGACTCATCAAGAAAAAAAAGGAGAGGACCCAAATAAATAATATCAGAAATGAAAGAGAAGAAATAACAACTGATACCAAAGAAATACAAAGGATTGGAATTCTTACTTAGTAGCCCTTCAATTAAATGTGCAATCGTCCATATGAAGTCAGCAAGGTTACCAAGGTTTCTTGTTAGATTACTAGAAAAAATATAGCAAAGTACTTTAGAAAATTGATATTTCATTATTTTTAATTTGATGGAGGACTTGTGTATTCGTCCACTTTTGTAACTGTGTCCCACTGCAAATCATTTTTTGTCTGCATACCTGTCTTTTTATCTATACATCCGTTCATCTTTCCATCATCTCCCTACCTATGTGAGCCTTAGTTTCTTAATTGATAACAAGAATATATATTGTATTATTAAAAATATTTTATAATATGACAATTCTGTGGAAAACTTTAGAAAACCATTATATGGATATAAAACAATATATTCATGGTCATACCAATTATTTTGAGACTTATTTTTTAAGGCCCGCACTATTATTTTATAATTACCCAAGTGTAGGTTATTTTTTCCCTAAGGGAATTTGCTATTTAGAGAGAGAAATATCTTCTTTTAAAAAACAATTTTAAAAAAATTTCAATTTTAGTGGGCCCACTTTTTTTTTTCTTTTGTGAAACTCACACTGTCTTGAACATAGCACAGCCCACCAAAATACGATTTTCCTATCTTATTTTTTTCAAATGATCTCTCCATATTTGGTGTTTTCTTTGGCTAAGTGGGGTAAATGAGCCTTTTGGTCAAATATGTTACATCATCAAGTATATAAACCCCAAAGCAGATGACTCCTAAAGAAAACAATGTAATATAAAACAAATTATAACATGTGGTCGGTATACATGGGTATATTATCTATGAATACAAATATAGACCTTGTGATATGTTATTATATGCTTTTTAGCCTCTTCCTTTTATGGGCCATTAGGATTTATCTTAAATAATTTTTTAACATAGTAACCCCCTTTTCATTAGCCTGAGGTGACTCCAAACAGAAGTTACTCAGAACACACATAGGTTTGAAGATCTGGAATTTCCACGTAATAGCTGTGCACTGTTGAGCAGATATCTTAGTCTTTCTGAAATTATTTCCTCATATATAATATAGATGTGCTATCACGTGACCGGGCTATGAAAATGAGATAACTATGAATGAGGGAATCTGAGTACCTGCTTTGATATCTGGCACAAGGTTTGTTTTCAATAAATGTTTTCCTAAGCCTGAAATTTCCACAGCTGATTTCATGTTTTTTATGGAGAAAAATTTGCTCTCAGCTCTTACAAGCAAGCTTCTCTGCTTGTAGCACCATACACACAGCTGTGTCACTTTGAAGTCTCCTTCCTGCACGTTCTCCCCACCTACTATGCTCTCCCAGACTGAACTGTGTTTTAATTTCCCTCACTAGGTGACTTGAATGTCATAATCGTGAACTTTGCCCAGGACTCTCTCTCAACATTCATACAAAACTAAACTCATGTATATAAGCGTCTGAGTTCTGTCTGCATATTTTAATTTGGATTTTTCTTCATCTCTTTCCCTTCTTAACTGTTTTTGTATCTTGAGTTTGATGAGGTCCAAAAAAGTGTTGTGCCTTTATTGATTTATGTTTTGCCACGTCTATTCTAGGACCTAGCATACAGAGAAGCTCTGCACATCACAGGTTGTCATTCAAAGTGGAAATCATATTTTGATCATGTCCACTGAGCTAAGTGTATTTTGGGTGATTGGTAAATATTATATAACAATGAGGAACTGTGTCTTTTTGTGAAGTGTAAGACACTTAGAGCTAATGGCTACAATCTGGTCATTTGAAGGAATGACTTCCTGTAGGACTTGGGTGGTTGTCAGAGAGGCTTGTAAGAAATGTGTGACTGGGCAGTGTACTTAGAAGTAGATCAGAGAGGGCAGTCAATGAGAGGGTCTTTGAGGTGATCCATGTGAATGAGTGAAGCAGAAAAGAGGTTTGGGCATCCGTGTTAGGGTGTACTTATTCTGTATTGCACGTCAAAGGGTTAGTCTGGCCATTTTATCAGGGATGCAGCCTTATTTCTTTTTAACATTATCTTTATTAAAATGGAATTAGCCTTGGGGAGAAAGATTTTTCTCTTCTTTTCTTTGGGAATTATATCGCGATCAGAAGAGATGCTCCCTCTCTTCTTGAACTTTCTCTTCTTGCTTTCCTTCTCCCCAACATAACTAAAATTAATATTTTTCCTGAGTTTCCAAAGCCTGAAGATTCTGCTTTTAAATAGTAGCCTGCTTAAATGATAACCAAAATTTCAATTTTTTAAATAAAATTAATAAATCTTTATGTAAATCAATAAAAGAATACAGAATTGACTAAAGAAAAATATTGGGTTAGCCAAAAAGTTCATTTAGTTTTTTCTGTACGATGGCTCTAGGAATGCTTAGTTGTCTTTAACTTCATTTGAAACAGTTTTGTTAGGTTGTAATGGGACAACTGTCTTATCAGCATGCATTTTTAAAAAACTTATTAAAATTGGTGCAGCCATTTTAATATTGAAGATGAAGAAAACAGTGCAACATTTACAGCATATTACGCTTTATTATTTTAAGGAAGTTAAAAACACAACTCAAACGCAAAAAAAGATTTGTGCAGTATATGGAAAAGGTGTTGTGACTAGTTAAACGCGTTGAAAGTGGTTTGCCAGGTTTCTTGGTACTGTTGACATTTTGGCCAAATAATTCTTTGTTGTGGGGCTCTCTTATGCATTGGAAGAAGTTTAGCAGCACCCCTGGCCTCTACCCACTGGAAGTCAAAAGAGGGAGGTTGCCAACATACTCAAAAGACCTAAATCAGTAAAGTTATTGGTGAAAAAGAAAAATTTGTTTTTTATTTTATAAAAAAATCAAATGGACTTTTTGGCCAATGCAATGTAACTGTCTCCTAAAATGCCACCATTTGGACCCATATTAATATTTTGATTTATATCAGACCAACCATGCAAATTTATGGAATGAAGAAAGAAAGGATGTGGAGGTGGTAGTGCCCAGGAGAGGAGCCATCTGTGAGAAAATGGAACCAGAGGCTTTAGACTGACCACTGTCATAGACTGTTGACATAGTCAGGATGGGAAATTTTTGAATAATCATGTATTTTTAAAAACAAGATTTGGTATACAAACTGTTTTGTGACTTGCCATTTTTATTTATTATGTTATAAGCATTATTCTAGATGAATAAATGTTTTAAAGTATCTTCCCTATATCTAAGTAAAGTATTCTGTTGCTTGTTCAATAATATTTTAAACCAATCCCCATTGTTGAATGCCTAGGTGATTTTTATTGTTTAAAAACTGGAAACTGCCCTGCCCAGGTAGCTCAGTTGGCTGTAGCATTCTGCCAATGTGCCAAGGTTGCAGGTTTGATCCCGTATGGGAGCATATAGAAGAATCAGCCAAAGAATGCACACATAAGTGGAACAACAAATCGATGTTTCTCTGTCTTTCTGTCTCTCTCTTTTTCTCTGTCTCTGTCTCTCTCCCCCTCTCCCTCCTCTCTCTCTCCAAAATTAGTAAATAAAAACAGTTTAAAAATTGGAAACTATGTAATGATGAAGATTCTTGTAGATAAATCCATGTTCACAATCACGTCTTTATATTAATAAATATATTATATTTATATATATTATCTTGACTTCGCAGGTGCCTGCATGAACATCACCCACAGCCAATGTCAGATGCTGCCCTACCATACCACGCCAACAACTCTCTTCTCAATTGTCAAAAACATGGAAATGGAGACGTTCCTCAAATTCTTCATGTACCTCCATCGCCTCAGTTGCTATCAACATATCATGCTTTTTGGCTGTAGCCTTGCCTTCCCTGAATGCATTGGTGACGGTGATGACAGGTATTTGGGAACCACAATCATTCAGTGATAAGAGTCAGTTGTAGCAGGAGTGTCTGAGAGGAACAAAATTATCCCAAGCTACCATATTTTCTTGTTGCTGTTAAAGGAGAAAAAAAACCCCCCAAAAAACACCCACACCAATCATAGCCATTTGTAATTCTTTTAAACTAGAAATTGTTTGAAACCCTGGCATAATTTCATTTATGGAAAGAAACTATTCGGCGTGTTATATTGATGCGGACAGCTGTGATACTCAATAGCTATTGCCGTGAGGGTCTGGTGGACGACAGACAGCATACTCAGAGGGGTGATGGAAAGCGTTTACTGAACAGACCGTGGAAGTGTGGTTAGGCTTAAGAGAACAGATAACTGGTGGGAGATGTCAGGGTCCCACAACAGGGGGATGCAGTTCCACCGCCCCAGACTTGAATGCGGAAGAGGGCGGGCAGCCCCTGGAGAGAGTTATAGGTATGGGTCAGGGGTCTCCTGACAGGCCATGTGCTGCAGCCCCAGGCAGAGGAGCACAGCAGTGGGGCAGGGAGAGAGAAGGAACAACTCCCCTGACCTCACTCTCCTCCTGCCCTTCCATCTCCCAGGGCCTCCCACCAACTGAACTCACCCATAGCCATTGGGTAAAGACATGCAGTTAACAAGAGCTCAATAGATAAGATCCAAAATCTCATCTAAATATCATCAGTTCAAAAGTCCCATATCTCCTCATCTAAATCAGGTATGGGTGAGATGCAGGTGATTTTCACGGTCAACACTGACACTCAGAGCAGGGCAAGGAAGGAGAAGGATGGATGCAGGTGGTCAGGACTGCCCGGCCCAGTAACAAATAGGATTAGAGGTGATTTTCAATGAGAGTGAATCAATGAAGAGTGTGTCAGGGAATATTTGAAATACTAAGCATGTCTTTTAAAAGCATGTGTTAAAATAATAACAATTACTTTCTGAATTGATATGTTAGGAAGTTTTCAGAGTAATGATGTTAGATTGAAACGCATTTTCAAGTGCAAATAGATTTTATGTTATTTGTACCAATTTAATTAGTGTAAAAAATATGCTTTTAACAGGCAAAGCCATTAATTATTTGGACTGTAAAAAGCCTGCATTGCCACAGAAAAAAACTAGGTAGAATAGAAACAGTAGAGCCTGAACTGTAGCAGTGAGTAAAGAACGATCAGCAGAGCCCGCATCCCAGGGATGCTTTGCTGGAAAGAACCGTCTGCAGAGGCTGCCTTCATGGCCCAATGAGAGAGAAGCTCCATTAGGGCTTTCCCAGGAGTGAAAGTGGGTGGCAGTAAAGAAGCCCCAATGTTCCTAGAACGGTGGCAGTATGACGGAGTGGTTGTATTAGTTTCCTTGGGCTGTTGTCACAAATTACTATGAGCTGGGTGGCTTCGTAACAGAAATTTATTCTCTCAGATTTCTAGAAGCCAGAAGGGCAAAATCTGGCAGGCCATGTGCCCTCTGGGGATTCTGGGGTCAGCACTGGGGGCAACGCATGTCCTTCCTTTGCCAGCTTCTGGTGGTTGCAAGGGTTCTTTGACTTGTGGCCACATCACTCCAGCCTCTGCCCCATCTTCACATGGCCTTCTCTTCTGTGCATTTGTGTCTCCTCTTCTGTCTCTTATGAGGACACTTGTCATTGGATGTAGGACAACCTACATCCTGACAACCTAAGATGATCTCATCTTCTCAAGGTCCTTAACTTAATTACATCCGCAATGACTTTTTTTTTTTTTTTTTTTTTTTTTTTCAAAATAAGGGCACAGTCGAGTTTCCAGAGATCAGGACATGGGCACATCTTTTGAGGCCACCATTGAGCATAGGGAAGTGGCTGAGAAAGCAGGTATGGAGCCACGTGCCTCAGCCTTTTCATCTGTAAAGTGGACTTGCGAGGTTTAAAAGACAGCGTTTGGATTAGTGTCCGGCTTTTAGAAACAGCTCAATAGATGTCAGCGATAGTTATCAAATAGTGGATTGAAAAGAAGTGCTAATAAAAATGAGAGCATAAAAAGTATTTATAATGTATATTAAGTATTAAAAGATTGGAAAAAATGTAGGATACTATATGGATTAAAAGAAAATTAGGTAGCCCTGACCAGTGTGGCTCAGTTGGTTGGGTGTTGTCTCCCAAAGCAAAAGGTCACAGGTTTGATTCCCTGTCACAGCACAAGCCTGGGTTGTGGGTTCGGTCCCCAGAGGGGCAAGAGGCAACTGATTGATGTCTCTCTTGCATCGATGTTTTGCTCTCCCTTTTTCTCCCTTCCTTTTCTCTCTATAATAAATAAATGATAGATAGATAGATAGATAGATAGATAGATAGATGATAGATAGATAGATATAGATAGATAAAATAAGAAAATTAAGTAGAATACTAATGGCTGCTGGAGCTGGATTTTAGTTCCATTTCTCCTTAATTTGAAACAATTTCACTTATATCTCTTTGCTTTAATCTCTCTATGGACTCATGTGTGTGCACAAATAAGACAATGAAAGAGAGTGCATTCAGTTTCCAGAAAACTCTAACTTCATTTTGATTATCCTTATTGTAATTCAATTTTTGCTCTTAATTAAATTAGTTGCAAAGTTCTAGTTAAGCTGTTCACTGTCTTCAGGCACTTATTAGGTAAAATCTGTTTTTCTCGTGACCTGATTCATCTTGAGAAATGCTCTCATGTGAGAGTCTTCCATTTTCTGTTGTAACAGATAATAATTTACAGTCAGTTTTCAGGTATCCTTTGCATACTTGTGCTTATGCAAAGGATACCTGAAAACTGTGTTTTTCAGTGTTCTTCTTGTGATTGATTTCTAGTTTCATAGCATTTTGGTCAGAGAAGATGCTTGATGTGATTTCCATCTTCTTAAATTTACTGAGACTTATTTTATGCCCTGACATGTGGTCTGTCTTAGAAAAGGTTCCATGTGCATTTGAAAAGTATGTATATTCTGCTGCTTGTGCTTATGCTATTTTTTTGTTATTACACTTATCATCATATTTAATTTTATAATTACACTTTTAGGCCACCGCTTCCTACTATTACTTATGATGTGCATGGGATCTGCAAGCTAAATTTAATAAGCAAAATAAGTTTGAGAAACATAAAATGTATTAATGGAAAATAATTCCAAGAACCAGCACTGGTTCTTGGATTCATTGATTTCCTTTGTCTTTTTTTTTTTTTTTTAGACTCTATTTCATTTATTTCTGCCCTGATCTTTATTATTTCCTTCCTCCTATTCACTTTGGGCTTTGTTTTCTGTTCTTTTTCAAATTCTGTTAAGTGTGAAATTAGATTGTTTACTTGAGCTTTTCCTTGTTTTTGAGATAGGCCTGTAATGCTATGAATTTCTCTCTTAGGATTGCTTTTCCATTGTCCCACAGATTTTGGAATGTTGTGTCCTCATTTTCATTTGTTTCAAGGTATCATTTGATTTCTTCCTTGATCTCATTTTTTATCTTTTCATTGTTTAATAACATGTCTTCATGTGTTTTTCAGTGTTCTCCTTGTGATTGATTTCTAGTTTCATAGCGTTTTGGTCAGAGAAGATGCTTGATGTGATTTCCATCTTCTTAAATTTACTGAGACTTGTTTTATGCCCTGACATGTGGTCTGTCTTAGAAAAGGTTCCATGTGCATTTGAAAAGTATGTATATTCTGCTGCTTTGAAATTCTCTTTAGATATCAAATTTTAAAGTCAAATAAATTTTCCTTATATTATACTATTGCCTATACTTCTATACTATTTTTCTCTGCTATTCAAATGACAGAGAACTGCTTATATTTCATCAGAGAAAATAGCTAAAATTAAAAATTTAACATTTAAAATTTAATAAAAAAGATATAGTGGGTTTTATAAATGGTATAGTTTTAACTTGAGGACTTTGAGACCTCAGATACTCATTAAAATTACATTATGTACCAATAAACTTTAAAAGTGTATTTTAGACTAGGTTGCATTTAATAAATGTGTGTATCATATAGTATAAAATGGAGTATAACTTATATGGAATCCATGAAATGTAGAGATTTAACTGATAAACCATTTGCGTAACCCTAAAAGTATGTGTGTTAGAAGCAATAGCTTAGAAATACCAGCAAGCAGGTAGAGAGAAATTTACAACTCGTGGGCCAAGAGGATAACAAAGAATTCTAGGTGACCTGATAGGCACAGTACTTTGAAGGCCTCTGCATTTTAAAGAGGAAGCAAGTGTTGCTGCCCATGCTTTTTATGTGTAACCATCACCCTTTCCCAATAATAAGTCTATAACTTTATCAAAACTTGGGAGGGGCTTAATTGGGCCTGGAAGGTCCAGCCTTGGCTTTGCTTCTAGAAGACACCCAGGGGACCATGCTGATTATCCTCACTGTACTCACATCTAATACTTTTCAGAGAAACTCTGCACATGTAATGAGGCCTTAACATTAAACACTTGACATGTTTTGCTATTGATTTTCCCCTTTGCTGCTGGCTACTTAGCAGAAATTCTTAATACTTGTGGAAATAAATTTAAAAATTTCTACTAGCTAGATAACTAGAGATTAGAGATTATATCTCTGTACTGTACTCATTACATGTAATATTGTTAGGAGGATCAAATGTGTTTCTTCAAATGATCCTTTTCAAAAGCACTGTACTTTTTCCCAAATAAGGATGTTCACTGGAGATCAGAGAATTTATCTAGCAAACTTCAGAGAATGTACTTGAAAGATTGGGGGCAGATGAAACCTGATTCAAACTATAACTCTGCCAGTTGTCAGTCTTAAGACGTTGGGGCTTTAGTTAGCCTTGCTGACCCGCAGTTTCCTCATCTTGGTAATGATTCTGACAATATCATTACCAGTATGTTTGTGTGTATTAAACAATTATTTAAATAAAGTGCTCATACATGGTCTATACTATCTGGCACACAGTAACTTCCCCATAAATAGTAAGTACTATTACTGATATACTCAAAGATGCTATGTGAGTTTCTGGGAGAGTATAAACTT